CTTTTGCCTCCACAGTTTTTCTGTTACCAGAATAGATGAAACATTGAGGTGTTCATCAGAAGTCTTAGAATTGTACTGCCTACTAATTGCAATTAAAAAAGAATAAGGTTTTGTAAAATTCCTTTCTTTAAGTGATCATTTTAACATTTATTTTAGCCTTTTCGTTCTGCTCTAAATAAATGACTTATTTTTTACCTAAAACGGAATAAAACTATGTAAAAATAGAACTTACCAAAGCTTAAGATGCAAAGATGAAGAAATGAACTGATAAAGAGAACATTAAATAAAAATATAAAATTGATTGGAGTTTTGATTGTTGTTGATAATAATCAAATTAACTTTTGCTTTAAGTCTTCGAAAAAGAAACTTCCTTTTGATTTGAATAAAGGTTTTAAATCTTTCCCTTAATGATTAATAAATTCTCCTTACAAGATTTATGTTCCTTATGCTTCTAATATTATTTCTTGGGATATAACAAAAATTGAATAATTAGAGACTAAGTAATAATTAAAAATACAACCTTGTAGAAAATTGCCTGGAAATAGTGGTAGTTTGAACTATACATAAATATCTTTGTAAGTTTTATCTGTGGCTTTAATTTCTTTTCCATTATTGACATTCCAAAGTCGGAGAGTTTTATCCAAACTACTTAATGCTAATGTATTTCCATCAGGTGAGAAACAGACTGAGCTGACAGTTCCACTAAAACTATCTAATTTTACTTTTTATTATCCAGTTTTGACATCCCATAGACGAATAGAGTTATCATAACTACCAGAAGCAAAAGTATTTCGATCAGGAGAAAAACAGACTGAGCTAACCCAATTAGTTTGACCATCTAAATTAACTTATTATTATCTTGTTTTCACATCCCATAGACGGATAGAGTTATCACTACTACCTGAAGCTAATGTATTTCCATCTGGAGAGAAAAAGACTGCCATAACATAATGAGTATGACCATCTAATTTGGCTTTTTATTATCGTGTTTTTACATCCCAAAGACGGATAGATTTATCATCACTACCAGTAGCTAATGTATTTCCATCAGGAGAAAAGCAGACTGAGTTGATACAATCATCATGACCATCCAATTTGGCTTTTTGTTATCCTATTTTGACATCCCATAGACGGATAGACTTATCATCACTTGCAGAAGCTAATGTATTTCCATCAGGGGAGAAACAGATTGACCAAACTCTATCACTATGACCATTCAATTTGGCTTTTTATTATCCTGTTTTGACATCCCATAGACGGATAGACTAATCATAACTACCAGAAGCTAATGTATCTCCATCAGGAGAGAAAAAGACTGAGTTGATACAATCATCATGACCATCCAGTTTGGCTTTTTATTATCGTGTTTTGACATCCCATAGACGGATAGAGTTATCATAACTACCAGAAGCTAATATATTTCCATCAGGAGAGAAACAGACTGACATTACCCAATGCTCATGGCCATCCATTTTTTTTTATTATTTTCTTGCTTTGACATCCCATAAACGCATAGAGCTATCATCACTACCAGAAGCTAATGTATTTCCATCAGNTTATTCTGTTTTGACATTCCATAGACGAATAGAGTTATCACTACTACCAGAAGCTAAAGTGTTTCCATCAAGAGAGAAACAGACTGATAATATACCACCTGTATGACCATCCAATTTGGCTTTTTATTATTCTGTTTTGACATTCCATAGACGAATAGAGTTATCACTACTACCAGAAGCTAAAGTGTTTCCATCAAGAGAGAAACAGACTGATAATATACCACCTGTATGACCATCCAATTTGGCTTTTTATTATTCTGTTTTGACATTCCATAGACGAATAGAGTTATCACTACTACCAGAAGCTAAAGTGTTTCCATCAAGAGAGAAACAGACTGATAATATACCACCTGTATGACCATCCAATTTGGCTTTTTATTATTCTGTTTTGACATTCCATAGACGAATAGAGTTATCACTACTACCAGAAGCTAAAGTGTTTCCATCAAGAGAGAAACAGACTGATAATATACCACCTGTATGACCATCCAATTTGGCTTTTTATTATTCTGTTTTGACATTCCATAGACGAATAGAGTTATCACTACTACCAGAAGCTAAAGTGTTTCCATCAAGAGAGAAACAGACTGATAATATACCACCTGTATGACCATCCAATTTGGCTTTTTATTATTCTGTTTTGACATTCCATAGACGAATAGAGTTATCACTACTACCAGAAGCTAAAGTGTTTCCATCAAGAGAGAAACAGACTGATAATATACCACCTGTATGACCATCCAATTTGGCTTTTTATTATTCTGTTTTGACATTCCATAGACGAATAGAGTTATCACTACTACCAGAAGCTAAAGTGTTTCCATCAAGAGAGAAACAGACTGATAATATACCACCTGTATGACCATCCAATTTGGCTTTTTATTATTCTGTTTTGACATTCCATAGACGAATAGAGTTATCACTACTACCAGAAGCTAAAGTGTTTCCATCAAGAGAGAAACAGACTGATAATATACCACCTGTATGACCATCCAATTTGGCTTTTTATTATTCTGTTTTGACATTCCATAGACGAATAGAGTTATCACTACTACCAGAAGCTAAAGTGTTTCCATCAAGAGAGAAACAGACTGATAATATACCACCTGTATGACCATCCAATTTGGCTTTTTATTATTCTGTTTTGACATTCCATAGACGAATAGAGTTATCACTACTACCAGAAGCTAAAGTGTTTCCATCAAGAGAGAAACAGACTGATAATATACCACCTGTATGACCATCCAATTTGGCTTTTTATTATTCTGTTTTGACATTCCATAGACGAATAGAGTTATCACTACTACCAGAAGCTAAAGTGTTTCCATCAAGAGAGAAACAGACTGATAATATACCACCTGTATGACCATCCAATTTGGCTTTTTATTATTCTGTTTTGACATTCCATAGACGAATAGAGTTATCACTACTACCAGAAGCTAAAGTGTTTCCATCAAGAGAGAAACAGACTGATAATATACCACCTGTATGACCATCCAATTTGGCTTTTTATTATTCTGTTTTGACATTCCATAGACGAATAGAGTTATCACTACTACCAGAAGCTAAAGTGTTTCCATCAAGAGAGAAACAGACTGATAATATACCACCTGTATGACCATCCAATTTGGCTTTTTATTATTCTGTTTTGACATTCCATAGACGAATAGAGTTATCACTACTACCAGAAGCTAAAGTGTTTCCATCAAGAGAGAAACAGACTGATAATATACCACCTGTATGACCATCCAATTTGGCTTTTTATTATTCTGTTTTGACATTCCATAGACGAATAGAGTTATCACTACTACCAGAAGCTAAAGTGTTTCCATCAAGAGAGAAACAGACTGATAATATACCACCTGTATGACCATCCAATTTGGCTTTTTATTATTCTGTTTTGACATTCCATAGACGAATAGAGTTATCACTACTACCAGAAGCTAAAGTGTTTCCATCAAGAGAGAAACAGACTGATAATATACCACCTGTATGACCATCCAATTTGGCTTTTTATTATTCTGTTTTGACATTCCATAGACGAATAGAGTTATCACTACTACCAGAAGCTAAAGTGTTTCCATCAAGAGAGAAACAGACTGATAATATACCACCTGTATGACCATCCAATTTGGCTTTTTATTATTCTGTTTTGACATTCCATAGACGAATAGAGTTATCACTACTACCAGAAGCTAAAGTGTTTCCATCAAGAGAGAAACAGACTGATAATATACCACCTGTATGACCATCCAATTTGGCTTTTTATTATTCTGTTTTGACATTCCATAGACGAATAGAGTTATCACTACTACCAGAAGCTAAAGTGTTTCCATCAAGAGAGAAACAGACTGATAATATACCACCTGTATGACCATCCAATTTGGCTTTTTATTATTCTGTTTTGACATTCCATAGACGAATAGAGTTATCACTACTACCAGAAGCTAAAGTGTTTCCATCAAGAGAGAAACAGACTGATAATATACCACCTGTATGACCATCCAAATTGGCTTTTTATTTTCCTGTATTGACATCCCATAGACGGATTGACTTATCATAACTACCAGAAGCTAATGTATTTCCATCAGGAGAGAAAAAGACTGAGTTGACCCAATCAGTATGAACATCTAATTTGGTATTTTATTTTCCTGTTTTGACATCCCATAGACGGATTGACTTATCATAACTACCAGAAGCTAATGTATTTCCATTAGGTGAAATACACACTGATCTCACACTCCCACGATGACCATCAAATTTATTCAATTCATGAATTTTAATGTTTTTCCATTTACAATTGAACAACTAAGCACCATTAAAATTTACCCCACTTATATCTACATTATCAAACTCTGATCCACTTAAGTTACATCTAACAAAGTTACCACCAAATAAAGATGTATTTTTGATCCTAATATTTTCAAAGGATTGATTTCTGATATCTATCTTCGTGCCTACTAAAAAATTTAATCCATTAGATCCACTTTAAATAAATTATAAATCTATGCTTGTTAGGAGAACTAAAAATTTGATAAAATCTAAGACCTCTTTATTATCCTTTATCCTCTTTATTAAATCTTATCTTGCCTTTTCATAAGTCTCTGAAGAATAGTCATCTTTATTAAATCTATGATCTTAAATATTTTTCAAGACATTCATGATTTTCTTTATTTTCTTTCCTACATCACTCATCTTATTCTCTTGCTTGTTGATTAGAAATTCATAAACTTATTTATTGTTTTTCTTTGAAAGAAATCCAAGAATGTCTGTAACTTACTCTCTTTTAAGTATTTCAAGTATTTTCAAATACAAAGATTCATCAATATCCTGGATGTGAGAAAAAATTTCATATAGATTTTCTTTCATTTTATAAACTTCTTCATCTTCTTCTTTTTAATTAGGTTGAATGCTAAGGGATATGATTTAAATACTTACTTAATTAATGATTGAATCTATCTGATTTCTAGGTTAAATTTTTCAATAAAAGCCATTATTTCTAGGTTCCACCTACTCATGGTGTTTTCTAATACCATCATATAAGAGTTCTTCACAGCATTCCAATCGGAAAGGGTTCTTTCTTCTACAATGCTTACTAATTTTTATAAGTCTGTGTAGGAGGCTTCAGCTAAATTTGTATTTTCGTTGATGAGATTAAACAATGATTAGTTTTCCTTTTCAATCCAATCGTATACATTTTTGATTGAGTGTTACAACTCATCATAAATTTTCTTCATCATTTATTCAATTTGAGAGAGCAATGATTTGAAGGCCATTCTCTATTTGGTTAATTCTGTAGTCTCATTAAGCTTTTCTTCTGTTAATTTTTTGTTAACCATTTCTTGAAATTTACTAACAGATACTATATATTTTAGATCCACACCATGCACATCTTGACATTCAGCGCAAAGTTTTCTATAACATTCACACGTATGAGGAGCTCTACATATCAAAGATATTGGACTTTTGATATGAAAAGTGCAATTCATTATTTTTAGTATTGAATTTCTATTACTTTTATTTTAAGTTATATACTGCAAAATCGATAAAAATATCTTCTTCAATTGTATAAAGATAAAGTTAAAATTTTGTGTAGATTTAGAATGGATTGTAATTGAGGTAAAATATACTATAAGGATTCATTTCAACATCCATTTTGCTTTATTAATTATAATATA